AACTCAACTTGATTCGAGTTGATAATTTTACTCTATATAATGGGTTAAGGTTGAACCCACATTCGAGCCCGACCAAGGCAGGTGGCAACGTTCGTGTGTGGTCGAACTCCAAGTCCATCTAGGTCCTCGACCGTTCACAAAATTGGAGTGTCCCTTAAAGACCAATCATCATAACAAACTTGAAGTATATATGCTCATGAAATTTTTTTTACCAAAATAATGTCAGATTGGTGTCAAATCTCACATTTGCTCAACTTCTATTTTCACATTTCAAAAATATCACTTTAAAGTCTATTTTCTCATTCATCTCTTACTCTAAGTGAATGTACTATTTTATTTTTTTCATAAAGTAGAACATGAACTCACAAAAAATTGCAAAAAACAATGGGTATGTCTTATTTTAATTTAAACTCAAAGCCGATAAAAAAATCTATTTTTGTTTGACAGTTGGATTTGAAGGCAAGTTGAAGCTCAAGCACGCATTTGAATTCAGTTCGTGTAATCACACAAGCTAAGTTCAAATTTGGAAGAAAAATAAGAACTTAAACAAATGTAATCTTGTTACAATCATAAACAATTTCTCGAAGAGCAATGCTATTAACACTTAAAAATTTGATCTAATTTGCTGACCTAATTCATTGTGACCTTTGGATAGACTATAAGCCTATCTAATATTGAAATTTGGTGTTGATCCAATAATTTTTATTAAGTCACATCATTATATCAACAAATTAAATCAAATTTTAGGTCCAAATAACATTATTCTTTCCCGAAACACTTTTAATGAACGAACTGGCGCCGATGGTTTGTCTGAAAATCGAGCATGAACGGCAAGCAATTCGGTTGAAAACGTCATCGTTTTGATCAACCCATGAACACTGCTGCCTTTTTTCATCGACCCCTATCTTCACCAAAAATTTCAAGCCGCCAGACCCTCATTAAACCCCTCACAAAAAATGCCTACTTTTTTCAACATCTCCAGTTGCCATGACTCTCTCTTCTCCCAGGCTCAACCCACTGAAGAATTCAATTATATCCCTCCTTCAAACCACCAAAAAGACACCCCAAATCTTCCAAATTCAAGCCCAATTGATCACCAAAAACCTCATATCCGACCCTTTTGTCACAAGCCAATTACTCAATTCCATAATGTCAACCACTTCTAACATGACTTACGCAGAGATTGTATTCGCTCACATTGAACAAACCAATACATTTGTTTATAACACAATGGTCAAAGGCTATGTGTCAAGCTCAAACCCAAAAAAGGCCTTGCATTTCTATGTTAAAATGAGAAAAGATGGCCTTGTGGGTGATAATTATACATACCCATTTGTGCTCAAGGCCTGTGGTATGACGGGTGGGTTGTGGGAAGGAAGAGAGATTCATGGGGAGCTTATAAAGGGAGGGTTTGATTGGGATGTATATGTGAGGAATGGATTGATTGGAATGTATTGTAGGTGTGGCGAGATGGGTTGCGCTACGGTATTGTTTGTTGGATTCCATTGCAAGGACCTGGTATCTTGGAATTTCATGTTGGGTGGTTATGTTGGGTGTGGAGACATGGAGGAGGCTCAGAGGTTGTTTGATGAAATGCCTAAGAGAGATGTGGTTTCTTGGTCCATTATGATTGATGGGTATGGGAAGGTCTGCAATTTTTTTTTTTTATTTTTTTTTGGGAAAGGGAGGAGAGGAGAGGGAACTTGAACTCTTGACTTGTGATTTCTTGGTCCATTATGATTGATGGGTATGGAAAGATCTGCACTTTTTTTTTTTTTTAAAGAAAGGGGAGGAGATTTGAACCCTTGACCTTAAAAAAGTAAATATCATTGGATCAAAGGTCCATTGGTATGGGAAAGTCTGCAATTAACGGTTAGTAAAAATACCAAATGTGTGGAGAAATTTTGTTATTTTGGCGCCATTTTAAAGTANAAAGTCTGCAATTAACGGTAAAAATACCAAATGTGTGGAGAAATTTTGTTATTTTGGCGCCATTTTAAAGTATGAGAGTTGTTTAGAATGTGAAATGGAGGTTTCTTGGATATTTATCATTTTCTAAATCATTTTTTGGAAAAGAATATTCAGGCATGATGAACCAGAAAGATTTGATCTTTTTTTTCTATTTTGTAGGATAAAGGTCCTACACGGCAATGTCAATAGAGAGTCTAGTTTCGTGATATAAATACTTTCTCGAGAAAGTTTAACGTCATGGAATTCGCTCTTGTATTCACTATAAAACCCTCACCTTACCTAACGCAGTCTTGGATTTTTGTTTCTTTTGTTGTGGGCATGTTCCTTTCAGATATATCCTGACATATGCATTCTTGCCTCCTTTTTTCAGAAAATTGGTGACGTTATTAGAGCTCGTGCGCTTTTTGACACCATGCCTTTGAGAGATTTGGTTACTTGGCATTCTATGATATATGCTTACACAAAGGCTGGAGATATGATAGCAGCTCGCCAGTTATTTGATGAGATGGAGGAGAAAAATGTGGTTTCTTGGAGCATTGTGATAGATGGCTATGCTCAGCATGGAAATCCTAAGGAAGCATTGAATATGTTTAGGCAAATGCTTTGCAAAGGTGTGAAGCCAGACAAGATATCTATGGTTGGTGCAATATCATCTTGCGCCCAATTGGGTGCACTGGATCAAGGAAGATGGATTCATATGTACATGAAGAAGAACAGAATGCAGTTGGATGTTGTTGCTAAAACTGCCCTGGTAGACATGTATATGAAATGCGGATCTATTAATGAGGCTTGCACAATGTTCAATAGCATGATAGAAAGAAATGTTGTTACTTGGAATGTCATGATTGCCGGACTTGGTATTAATGGCTTAGAGAAGGCAGCTTTGGAATATTTTGCTCTAATGGAAATGAGAGGAATTCGAATGGATGATTTGATTTTTGTCAGTGTCCTTACTGCATGTAGTCATGCAGGTTTTGTAGCTGAGGGTCTCAATATCTTTGACCGGATGAGAACTCATGGGATTGAACCCAAGCTTGAACACTATGGTTGCTTGATTGACCTCCTTGGCCGAGCAGGAAAACTAAATCAAGCTCAAATTGTTATACAGACCATGCCTATGAAACCCAATTCAGAATTGTGGGGTTCTCTTCTTTTGGCATGTCATACTCATAGTAATGTGGCTCTTGCTGAAGTTGTAGTGGAGAGACTTGTAGAGCTCAAAGCTGATGACTCTGGAGTTTATGTTCTTATGTCTAATATTTATGCAAATGCTAGAATGTGGGAGTGTGCCCTGAAGATACGAAAATTGATGATGGAAAGAAAAATGAGGAAGGAAACTGGAAAGAGTGTAATGGAAGTAGATGGTGAAATCGAGGAATTCATTAGCGGTAAAAAACCTCATATTCAATGTGAGGAAATAGAGAGTTCTTTGGAGTCTAGCGAAGGTGGTAATGTTGGCAGAATCCTGGAATGAGTCCATGCAATAAAAAAGTCCTGTTTGCAATTGATGAAGTTTGTTGAACTCGTTCAAAATTGAGTGATCTGAAGATTGTAGAACGCGGTTATGTTTACAGAGGCATATTTCCTTTGGGGACAAAAGGATAATTTGAAACTTGGTCTTCCAAATTTGAGCATAAGCATTTTGGTTTTGCCATTTTTTGTGTGCTTTAGCAAAAATGCCAGGGTCCCAACATGCCGTCACGTACCACCAAGTGGTTGATTCAGTAGATAAGAATTTGGATGTCTTCGTTCAATGCTTGAGTTTGAATCTCGCCAGTTACAGCAATTTGGTGGAGTTGAGCCTACTCTTCAGCATTCAAAGTACGCGGTAAAACCTTAGTTTTGACCCTAACATAAGTGTGGTTGAGTCTCCAGGAAATTTGTTGTGTGGTGCTGAAATGCAATGTTTCCTGACAGATGTGAAATGACCTATTTGCATATTTATTTATGTATCCAAAGAAAACGTGCCGACACAATACGGTTCACATTTCATTTTACATAGTCTTTGGGTTCAATCTTTTGGGTCGACTTAGCCGCTGCACTTATCAAACCTGGGTCAGGCCATTGATGACTGAAAATGCTGGCAACTGGAAGATGAAGCTTAGCATTCTTGAATGTCATGAGTCTCATGACAGAAAACTTGGGTCTTTTATATGGGTTAACAATGGGAGAAACATGTGAACGACAAATTGCAAGGAATGAACCCTTCAGAGTTAAACCCCATACATCTATTGTCCAAACTGCTTTCTGTGACTCACCATCATCATCAGCTCCTTTATAAAGATGGTGAATCATTCTGTCATGACATATCAGCTCCTTTATAAAGATGGTGAATCATTCTGTCAAGACATAGAGTCAGAGATCGGTTCCACACCAAAANTGCGGATCTATTAATGAGGCTTGCACAATGTTCAATAGCATGATAGAAAGAAATGTTGTTACTTGGAATGTCATGATTGCCGGACTTGGTATTAATGGCTTAGAGAAGGCAGCTTTGGAATATTTTGCTCTNTAAAGATGGTGAATCATTCTGTCAAGACATAGAGTCAGAGATCGGTTCCACACCAAAAAGGTTAGCCGCTTTTGGATTTATGGGACTCAAACCACACCCATCCAGGTTCCTCTGTCCAAATCCCTGGCGCCACAAAACACACACAGACACATATGCATGCATTCTCCCATCTTTATCACTTTTACAGTGAAGCCATGGTTGTATCTCTGTAATCTGCTTTTCTTCTATACCTTTTAACAATTTTTTCGTGTTTAAGAGTCGAGGTTCCAGAGAATTCTTTTGCAACACCCAAAGGTTATTCACGATTGGTGTATGTTGAGGGAACGAATGCTGGCAAAACTAATGAAAGTGAAGGCATAGCAACTGAAAGTAAAGAACAATATTGCTGTCTCGATCAATAAGTTTTTCTTACCCCATTTATAGTTCAATTTTTATACTTGTTCCTGTGAAATTAATTGTGACAACTTTTGTAATGAATCATATCTAACACTATCCATTGAAGCAATGTATAAAGGGTATGCAATCATGCATTTAAGTCATAAAGGCAACAGAGTTATATGCTTGGGAACTAAAGGAATTATCAGCTTCTTATGAAACACAAACTAAATTGTAAGACAAATAACTCAACTTAAATGAACTCAAAACACTAGAATATGGTATTGCATCAGCAATAACAACATCACAAATATAGTAAGGAATATTTCATCCAGAGCTCTGAAATATAATAACCAAACAAAAATTTCAAAGCTCTACAGCTTGAGCAAAATAAATAACACTTCAACAACCTTAATTCAGCAACTGTGAATTAAGCAAAAATAAGCCTCCAACCGCCCAATTACCTAAGATTTAAGAATCTGAAGACTTCATAGCATCCAACACCAATTTAGTATGTTCCCTAATCAACTCCAATCGCTTGGCGTACAACTCAAACTCTTCCACCCTCAAATCCTTCCACCTCTCCTCTAACTCCTTTGCCTTCGTGCTCCCAATCATGCCTATTTTTTCTTTCGCAAAATTTTTCAAACCCTCTGGCAATGACAAATATAGAGACTTCTCCAACTCCAACGCCTCATTCAATTGCGGGTGCTCAGACCAAAAATCCTTTTTCTCAACCTTCACTTCATCCTTTGCTTCCTCTCTCACCACAATCTCCTTTTCTTCTTCGTTAGCTGAACCCACATTGTTATTGACTTTACCAATTTTTCTAGCCTTCCCATTGTTACTTCCGGCATTCTCATCCACTGCATTACTACTCCCACCACCCCATATCTTCTTTGAGAGCTCAAAGGACTTGTGCTCATGAGTTCTAGAAAAAACAGGGCCCTCTCCATTCTCACCCTTCTCCGCGTTGTTTTGATATTTCTTCCTCAACCTCCTAATCTTATCAGTCAATTGATTCCTCGAAACATCAACATGAAGAGATTCCTTTATAAATTCATGAAATGCACCCAAATCTGCGTAAGGGTCGGCCCCTTTTTTGGCCTGGTAATCAACCATTCCCTTCAAGATTGCAATTTCGTCGTCCTCACTCCACAACCTATTAATCCCAGAACCCTTTTTCTCTTCCACAGCCTTAACTTCTTCAACACTGGAGACCTTACTCTTCTTTTTCCTAGAATCATTGCCATTGTCTTCCTTCTCCGCATGGCGTTTTGAAGGAATGGCCAAAACAGTAAGCCTCGTGGCCTTAGAAGAATCGGCCATTGTCTTGGAGGAGACAATTGGCTTGATGGTGAAATCAGAAGCACTAGGGGATTGTTGGGTCTTGTCAGATTGGGATTCCGAATCAGACACGTCATCGGAATCGGATTCCGGCGAAGATTTGGGATTTGGGGTTGGAATGATTTTTTGGATCGAGGGTTTCTCGTTGACAGGCTGTGGATTTGAAGGGATCTCTTCTTCTTCTTCTTCTTCTTCTTCTTCTTCTTCGTCATCAGACTCTTCCTCTTCTTCTTCTACTTCAGAATCTGCTTTTCCTGGTTTGTTTCCTTGTACTTGATCAGATTCTTCTTCTACTTCTTCATCGTCGTCAGGGCCATCGATGTAATCTTCTTCTCGTGATTCCTCAGATGAAGCAGAAGGCGGCTCATCTAGATGATTCGAGCGCTTTGGGGCCATTCCCTTCCCCTTGAAGAGAGAGAAAAAACAGAGCAGTCGAATTTTCTTCTATAGAGAGAGTAGGGTTTAGGGCGACGAAGGGATTGACAGAACGGAGTATTATTATCATGGTTAATTATAAATTATACCCTAAAAGATCGTTTAAATTTTAATTTGTATCTTCAAAGATTAAAATTTTTAATTTATACACTCAAAGATAGAAATTTATATCAATATGTACTCCAAAAATCAAAATTCTCAATTTTTACCCTCAAAGATAGAAATTTGTATCAATGTACACCTCCAAAGATAAAAAAATCTCAATTTACACATTTAAAAATAAAAATTTGTATTAGTGTGCACTTAAAATTAAATTGATAAATTATACCTAGATCCCCTTATATTTGTTACTTAATCATTTAGACCCTTTTAAATTTAAAATATTACTCTTACATCTCATGACGTTTGTACACGTGTAACACATAACTCATTTTTGTTGGTATCTGTTAATATAACAGTTAAAAAATATGATTTTATCATAATAAAAAATTATAATTTCATATTACTCTTTTATTTTATGGGTCCAATATAATTTAAAGTTCAAAATCAAGTTTATAATTTGAATATCTAATAGAATAAATGGTTACACATTGAGTGATATATTACATTATAAATAAAAAAATATTATATAAATATCTACATTCTATTGGTCGCAATATTAGACAAGATTCACCACTAATGCAATACAAAAGTTATATTAGACTTGGTAAAGAAAACTCATCTTCTTCATTCCTAACTTTATTTCCAATAAAGAATGTATAGTTCTTGAGAATAACTCGTTTGATATTGTCCTTACCCATATTAAACTTGACTAAGTAAGGGAAAAAAAATAAAAAATAGAAATAAATAAAAAATAGAAAAATGACTTCCAGGTTATTTCCGGGACAAGGATCACCCGACCCGAGACCTCCAAGGTGGATTCTATTATTAGTCAGCTTCAATGATCAAAATTTCGTTTCGGTATATTATTTCGGTCACCTTAAAAATGAAAACGTTTCGACGTGTTTTAGAAATATTTTGACCAGTTTCAGAAATATAATGAAAGAAATAAAACAAATTAAGAATTATTTTTTTAAAATATTGATCGCAAATATATCAAAATATCGTGAAATAGCTAAAAATATTTCAAAATAATTGTGTAAATACATTAAAATATTACAAAACATCTCGAAACATTATGGAATACCTCAAAAAATTAAAATTTCGATTCTATCGCTGATTCGTTTCGGTCTACTTGAAAACGAAAACGTTTCGAGTGTTTTGACTGATTCGAAACAAAATTTTGATCATTGGTCAGCTGATACCAAGCTTATTAAAAATTAATAACTAGGTATATCAAAATATGATACAATTCGTTAATTGAACACCACATAAAATTAAAGGGTTTGAATTTTTTTAAACCACCCGTTTCGTAAACAAATAGATCTGACACAACACGACTAATAAATGAATTAAGTACAGGTGAAGCCAATCAAAAGAAATACAAGATACGACTCGCATATATACCAGTTATACTTAATTCATACACAATAAAAACTCGATAAGACACAGTTCGTTGGACATAAATTAATAAAAGAATCAAAGATGAGTAAAGTGTTTTTTTGACACGAATTAACTAATTTGACACAAACACGTCTCACTCGACACGATTGACAGACTTAATTACTATTAATCAATTAAATATTTTAGTGGGAAAAAAGGAGGTTAGAATGAAAAATCAAATCATACATCATCATTTGCTTGTGTTTTCTTGACTATTTGGGGAAAAATGTATGTATACGGAAAAATTATTTTTTTATTTGTGGAAAAATGTATGCATACAGGAAAATTATTTTTTTTNAAAGTGGATCAGAAAATTAAACTTTTTAGACCACCAACCAAAAGCTTTACAAATTGTTTGGTAATGCCAGTTCTAAGTGGCCCCAGACTTGGAAATCTACATCATATTACCTTTACCATTTTTAATTTTGGTTGACATGGATTATTCCAATTTGCAAACTCAACCTATTAACAAGTAAGCTTTCTGATATGGTATCTAATCTCTTTTTTTAGGGGGATGTTGATATTCCCAGAAAAGGTTTTTGAAGATATGAAACAAGTCTTACCTCTATTCTGAACTAGTCACGCAGTCATCCATAAGTGATCATCCATACGCCACAAAGAAGAAGAGAGTCTCATCAGAAGAAATTCATTGAAATTTACAGAATCAAGTTCTTCAACTCTATCTACTTATCTATCATTTTTTTAAAAACTATAGGGAGAGAGAGAGAGGTGCAAACTTTGCTATCTTTTCCAGCATTTCTCCTTCACATTTCAACTGCTTAAGCCTTTGGGACAAATACTGGAAGGACAAGATGAAAGTATTGTACGGTAATAAACAAGTGCGTGACACTGGGAGAGACCAAAGGCAGGCATGATGACAGAAAAAAAAAACAGATACGGACAGAGGGAGACAAACTTCAATTACCTCTTCATTCCAAATAGGTCTGCGTCAATTATTGAGATTCGGAAAAATCAGCAACATGAACTTGTTAGTAAAATTAGCACAGGACCCGAAATAGCTCTAAATTAACAGTGACAGCAAAAATATTAGACGTACCCGCCCTTCAATTCATCAGGTCGGTCGACAAAACGAAGGAAGATATCCTCAACCCTACAACAGAAAAAAAAGTTTGTGAAAAAAGAAGAACGAGGCATTGACCTTCAAGGTTTTTCTTTATTTGATATCAACCTTCCATTGAAAGGGAAGCTGGTCAATCGACCAGTGGGAGAAAACATTATAAGAGCTACATCTGTATCACATAAAACAGCTAATTCATTGGCCTTCTTGATGAGTCCGTCTTTGCGCTTGGAGAAAGTTACTTGTCGAGATGTCGCATTCTCAATTCTTCTCATTGTAAGCTTCTTGCGACCCATGAACAGAAAACAAAAGAGACAACTGAACGAAGAAAAGGATTTGTTGCCCCTACTCAGAAAATGCAATAAGTCAATGGGAGAAGAAGGGAGTGAAATCACCATGCATTAACAGAATATCGCCACTTGTCCAAAAGTTCTTGGTCACAATTACTGAAGGATCTGCATTGGCCTGCTGTAATAAATATTTACACAATTTATTGATAATCTTCTTATTCATGACAGAATCCTCCATCAAGGACTATGCCATCACATTTTTTTGAACCACAATCATAGCCTCATAAATGCTGAAACAAATCATATGGAGCTGTCAATACACTTAAAAACAACGTAAACGTATACATTTTGGCAACAGTAACACCTATAAGATGTGCAAAGAACCCGCCATTGGGAGCTACATATAAGCCTTTGTTAGGGCATTTAGCCAGTTTTCATTAAATTGAGCTACTTAGAAAAAAAAAAACACATTTCTTTGTACACCCCTGGGTCATTCTCTGCTATTACATAGCAACTGGACTTTAGAAGCTGTTGATCCAGAGAAAAGAGAAACAGAGATTTCAATCTATTCTCGCCACTACTTGTGGGATTGTAAACTAATAACACTTGATGCAGCATATTCTTGCCGACACAGTTAATTACTCATGAATTTTTAGACAACGTAGACTACATCAAATGGTAAATCACGTGTCCAGATGTAATTACTAAAACACCCTTCATTTTTGCAGTAGATGAGAGTATACCTTAGCCAGATGTATAATCAACACACACTTGTCCACTCTTCTTCATGATTCTATGGAAACTGCATTCTTTTCTGTTTTACGCTTCTTCATTCAAACTTGAGGTGCAAACAGGCGATGGATATTCAATTAACTTGTTATTTCTCTTTCACAAAATGATCGAGTATAGAGATGCTTTCACAGGTTACATTTTACATTGCGTGGATTGCATATGGAGGAATTATAACCCAACTGCGTGTCCTGCGTGAGATTTTGTCATGTCTATGTGCACATGAGGTTTTAGATGGAAGCACAAGTCTAATGTCCAAAATCTACAACAAAAAAATGAAAAATAAAAATATTACCGCTTGCATAGAGCCAATTTTGTTGTTAAGCTGTGACTACAACCAGCAGCCTAATGGGCTTTGGAAATGGCCTTATTATTTTGAAAAATAATACAAGTCCATGTGTTACAACCAGGACTCGAACCCTGCATTTCCCTCTTGCAGAGGGATAAAAAAAAACTACTCAAACTTACAGCTGTTGGTATAACTGAAGTTTAGAAATGAGCCCCCACGACACCGCTTGCAGTGCAAGTGAGTCCGAACAATGGCACTATCGAAATGTTCTGCATGTTTTTTTAAATCTACGTCAGATAAGAATTTGAAACTAGAATAATAACAAGTTTTCACTTATTTTGCATAATGAAAAAAAAAAAACCAACAACCAGGATAATGCATGGAAGAACAAAATTGTTTTACAATAAATACACATGAAATAACAAATAACATCTTGCAACAAAAATTAAAGTAATTGATAAAGACCAACGTCGGAATAAATCAAATGGACAACTTTGTGAAGCACCTGAATCTAATAATAGCTATTCTGACAAGAACAAAAAAAAAAATTACTATACACAGAATGACTAGATCGATGAAAGGTGCAACTTAGAAAACTTAAAAGAATGCTGATTTCTTTCTTAAGATGCCAGTGTCCCCTGTGGTGACATGATCATTTGTAGGGCAATAGGATCATGCCAAAGTCGAACCCAATATCCCCGCTGACAAAGGAAGACCCAACCACTTGGCCCAAAAAAATGTGAACTTGTGGGAGAGACGGAATCAATTTCTCTATCCATAGTCTAGGTTCGAGTTAATCAGTGTTGACACACATCAGTGCGGGACTGATGTTCCACACCTAGGATGCTTATGCATCACCTACCCAAACAAAATCTGATGTACTTGAAGACCTTTATTTATGCCCTTCAACAAACCCATTTCTGTAGAACTCACTTTTTTTTTTTGAAAACAGTAGAACTCACTTTACCAATGGCATAATTGGAAACTATTTCTTCATCGAGAATCAATTTGAAGAAATCTAATGATCTGATTTGATTGACCATGATTCAAAATAATTACAGCATATCACTAACGTGAAAAAAAATCTTTTGAGCTCTCTCTCTCTCTCTCTCTCTCTCTGACAAAAAGACATACACAAGAGACCTTGGAGGATTGATTACCATGTTGTAAAGAGGCTAATGTGCACAAGATTACATTAATGTGACCTTGAGAGAACGAATTCATCATAATTATAGACAAATTCATAACAATAAAATGTAATAAACTGCAAATAAACGCTTAACTATACAAACCTTGTTGAGAACACAAGAACCCAGAGTGCAAATTTTGTTACTTGCAAGAGTTGACTCCTGTTCGAGCAGAGAGACCCAGTATTAGAACAAAAGAAAAGGGCATTGCCGATCACCGAACACACCCTTAAGACCAGTTTTACAAAGATTGTGTTCCATGAAAGCTAAGATTTCCCGGGCACTTCGTCGAACACTTGGGCAGTGTGAATTAGACGCACTAAACGACGAGTTTTCCGGAGAGAGTACGTCAGTGACTAATGGGCGAATCAGATTAAAAGATTTTACAATTTTTAATTTAGAGCTTTAAAAAATAATTTGCTATCATATTCTCAATGACATAAAATAATTACAATGTCACTCTCACGTTACAATGTGTGAGGGCCACCGTCAAAGTTCGGGTCATCTTAAGCGTCTCGATTAATTTCCGTTTTAGTCTGATTAAATGCGACATCTAAATTAGGGTATTCATATTTCCTATGATTTAACCAAAAAAAAAGTACAATTTTTAATTTAGAGCTTTAAATTTTTTTTTTTTTTTTCATATTCTACTCTCAATGACATTAAATAATTACAATGTCACTCTCAAATTGCAATGTGTGAGGGCCACCATCAAAGTCCGAGCTAGTTTACGCACCTCGATTAATTCTTTTTTTAATTCAATCAAATGTGACATCCAAACTAAAGTATCCCTAACAGATAAATCCCTTATTCTTGATCCTAAAAAGCCACCAAAGTCCTAGCTAATTTATGCACTTTAATTAATTTTCTCTCTAGTTTGGTCAAATGCAACATTCAAACTAAAATATTCATGAAGGATAAATCCATCATGACCTTATCCTAAAAAATTATTAAAATTTAAATTCTAAGATATCTAAATTTAAAATTCATTTCTATTACCATTTGAACTATGAAGTTCTTTTTATTAACTTTCCTCTTATTTTATTTTTGATGTTATAAACCCATGCTCACTCACACATCTAATTGATCTAGACAAGGGATGCCAATTGAGTTTGTTCATATTATATTATTAATTTTTAGATATGGATAATGTGTTGAGTAAATTTTTCATAACACTTCTAAACCTTATAAACTCGTATTTACACGCACTTGTATTTAAATAAAAGGTGTTAATAAGAGTTATCTTTGAATCATGTATTTGAGTGTGCTATTTTGTATTGGAATTATGTTCATATATATATTTGGGTTTTTTGATTGTATGAACTCAAGCTTTTCTTACACAATCAAAGGATTTAGTTAAGGGATGTCAATCGTATTGTATTGTGTTGATATCTCGTGGTTAATTGGCAATTCACAAAAGGTCATGGGTCATTTATGTGATTTATCCAAATAAAAAGGGTCAGTGGTTGCTTTGGTGTCGGTATAACGGAAATATCCGCCATAGTGGACTACTGTACTCCGTGAAGAGTTCTTCCCCACAACCTTACTACTTCATGAATGGCTCTTTCACTCTTAAACTACTCAAACCCCTCAATCCAATAACGCTCCTCAAGAACACTCCATTTCTCATCCACACCCACACCCACACCCACACCGTCACCACCTCCACCCACTTCACTCTTAACNAATTGATCTAGACAAGGGATGCCAATTGAGTTTGTTCATATTATATTATTAATTTTTAGATATGGATAATGTGTTGAGTAAATTTTTCATAACACTTCTAAACCTTATAAACTCGTATTTACACGCACTTGTATTTAAATAAAAGGTGTTAATAAGAGTTATCTTTGAATCATGTATTTGAGTGTGCTATTTTGTATTGGAATTATGTTCATATATATATTTGGGTTTTTTGATTGTATGAGCTCAAGCTTTTCTTACACAATCAAAGGATTTAGTTAAGGGATGTCAATCGTATTGTATTGTGTTGATATCTCGTGGTTAATTGGCAATTCACAAAAGGTCATGGGTCATTTATGTGATTTATCCAAATAAAAAGGGTCAGTGGTTGCTTTGGTGTCGGTATAACGGAAATATCCGCCATAGTGGACTACTGTACTCCGTGAAGAGTTCTTCCCCACAACCTTACTACTTCATGAATGGCTCTTTCACTCTTAAACTACTCAAACCCCTCAATCCAATAACGCTCCTCAAGAACACTCCATTTCTCATCCACACCCACACCCACACCCACACCCACACCGTCACCACCTCCACCCACTTCACTCTTAACTCCCCACTCTCTTCTCTCCAATGTGGAACCATCTTACAAAGCCTTACCAACACAAAATCCCTCAAGAAAGGCCAAAGACTCCATGCACACATGATAACTTGCAACACACTCCAAAACAACACCTATCTCAACACCAAACTCGCCGCCTTTTACGCGAATTGTGGTCAAATGACAGAAGCCCAATTCATATTTGGCCACATTGTGTTGAAGAATTCATTCTTGTGGAATTTCATGATCAGAGGCTTCGCTTGCAATGGGTATTCTTTGGAGAGCATCGTTTTGTATCGCGAAATGATGAGTTTTGGGCAAAAACCTAACAATTTTACTTACCCGTTTGTTCTCATGGCCTGTGGCAATATGGTTCTTGTTGAAATGGGTAGGAGAGTTCATTGTGAGACAGTTGTTTGTGGGTTGGATTCAAATGTTTTTGTTGGTAATTCTTTGCTTGCGATGTATGCGAAGTTTAAGGACGTGGAAATGATGAGGATAGTGTTTGATAGAATGCCTGTGAGAGATTTGACTTCTTGGAATACGATGATTTCCGGTTATGTGAAGAATGGTGAACCAGGAGAGGCTTTATTGGTATTTGGAACTATGGGAAAAGCTGGTATAATTGCGGATTGTACCACTCTGCTAGGGATACTCTCTGCTTGTGCTGCCTTGGCAGCATTAAAAGAGGGTGAAGCGGTCCACAGTAATGCTATTCAAAAAAACTTGGTAAAGGCTAATAATTTTCTGAGCAACTCCCTTATTGAAATGTATTGTAGTTGTAACTCAATGGTGATTGCAAAGCGACTTTTTGAGGAGCTGACCTGGAAGGACACTGTGGCATGGAATTCTTTGATTTCGGGTTATGCAAGGAATGGAAACTCTTTTGAAAGCCTGAGATATTTCTGTAGAATGCTTGTGGAAGGAGTGTTGCCTGATAAAGTGACTTTTGTGATTGTGCTTGGAGCTTGTGGTCTTATCACAGCCTTGCAATTTGGCTTGTCTGTTCATTCGTGTATTGTGACGAAAGGGTTTGATACAAATGCAATGGTGGGAACTGCTCTCATGGATATGTATTCTAAATGTGGGAGTTTAGCATGTTCCAGTCATGTTTTTGAGGAGATGACCAACAAAAATTTGGTTTCTTGGAGTGCTATGATTACAGGATATGGGCTTCATGGAAAGGGAAGAGAAGCTGTATCTGTCTTTCAAGAAATGAAAGCAAATGGAATTGTTCTGGATGAAGGTGTTTTTACTTCAGTTTTGTCAGCATGCAGCCATGCAGGTTTAGTCAATGAAGGTAAAGAGATTTTTCACAGCATGAGAAATGTGCACAATATCAAGCCTGTAATTGCTCACTACTCCTGTATGGTCGATCTTCTTGGGAGAGCAGGGCGTTTAGATGAAGCATATGAGTTTGTCGAGAAGATGGAAGTCAAGCCCACCAGTGATGTCTGGGCTGCACTTCTTTCTGCTTCTCGGCTCTCTCGAAATGTTGAGCTCGCTGAGCTTTCAGCACAGAAAGTTTTTGAACTGCATCCAAAAGGAGTTGGTAGCTATGTTTGCCTGTCCAATATATATGCTGCTGAGCAAAGATGGGATGATGTAGAAAGGGTGAGAGCCTTGGTAAGAAGGAAGGGACTGAAGAAAGAACCAGGCTGCAGTTTTGTTGAGTTAGATAAGGTGGTTCATTCGTTCTTAGTTGGAGATAAGTCACACCAACAGGCAGTAGAGATATATGCCAAGCTAAAAGAGTTGTGTAAACTGGTAAGTGAGGCAGGGTATAAACCTGATACTAGCTTAGTTTTCTTNGTTCTTAGTTGGAGATAAGTCACACCAACAGGCAGTAGAGATATATGCCAAGCTAAATGAGTTGTGTAAACTGGTAAGTGAGGCAGGGTATAAACCTGATACTAGCTTAGTTTTCTATGATGTCGGGGAAGAAGTGAAAGAGAAGATGCTTTGGGATCACAGTGAAAGACTGGCAATTGCTTTTGCTTTAATTAAGTCGGGCCCAGGAACGATAATTAGGATCACCAAGAACCTGCGAACATGTGGAGATTGCCACACTGTAACAAAACTCATTTCTAAGCTTACATGTCGAGAAATTATAATGAGGGACACCCATAGGTTTCACCACTTCAGAGACGGATATTGTTCTTGTGGTGACTATTGGTGAATGAATACTTGACCAATTTTTGAGAATTTGAGTCAGAGAAGGGATTTGAAGATGATTTAGTCTCTTGGAACATGATAATTTCAGCTTATTATGAAGAACAGTGGCACAAGAGACGCCTTATGAGCTTCCAGATAATTCAAAAACTAAAGCAGTTGCATGGTAAAGCACTTGCCTGGCATAGTCTGTTTGAACTGACTTAGCAGGGTGGAGCAATCCATGTTATACGTGCTTACAAATTTATTGTGGGTTTGCAGTGTTCTGGCTATCTGTCTACTTGGAATTGTATGTCAGTAATTTTGTGGTGGCTCCAAAATCATATTTTGATGAGTTAATTGGGAGATGCTGTACGATGGAATCTATGAGTGTGTTATGCAAGTGTAGAAAATTAGGAAAGTGTGATACTTTTGTATCTAATTATTTGGAGGATGTGGCTAGATCAAGCAACTGTTGAGGCTGTGCTTGGAGCTTAAGGGTCTGTTACAAAGGCAATGGCGGAAACTACCCTTAGGAGCTTGTAGCTGAAATGAGGATATTTGCCTGGTTCGTATAACATTGTCAGTGAGATGTCTGACAAACTTCCATCTCCTGGGGTGCTATTAGTTGCTGGATATGAGTTTCATTGATGGGAAGGGGCAATGTGAATGCTGGAATTGCTCAATATTCCTGTGTTAGGGAAATTTGCTGAACAGAATGGGAAGAATGGTGTGAGTTGATAAGAGGATGGAAATTAAACCATTCAGTGACATCTTGAGTGCTCTCCTTTTCTGTTATTGGCTTCTTCAAAATGTGAGGCTATCTGAAGTTTCAGCTAGCAAGTCTTTGAGATGGACTTGGGATGATTTGCCTGTCCCGTGTACTTGTGCCACTGAGAAATGATGTGATAATGCAGAAAGGGTGAAAGCATGGGTAAGAAGGGACTAATGGAAACACCTAGCTGCAGCTTTANTGGACTTGGGATGATTTGCCTGTCCCGTGTACTTGTGCCACTGAGAAATGATGTGATGATGCAGAAAGGGTGAAAGCATGGGTAAGAAGGGACTAATGGAAACACCTAGCTGCAGCTTTGTTGAATTAGATAAGATGGCTAAGAGGTTCCTAGTAAATAAATACACCACACAAAATTCTTGCGTCAGCAAATTGACTCAAGAGTTCCGGATACAACTGTAACACAAGGTCGAAGTTTTTATGGTGTTGAAGAAGTGAAAGAGAAGATGCTTTGGGATCATTATGAAGACTGCATTGCTTCTGAACTAGTTAACACAGCCCAATTACTTCAATTAAGATCACATGAAACTTTTGAGGTTTAACCATGTGGGGATTGCCTCCTCAAAATTCTAAGATCAAGTATAGAGAAATTCTTGCGAGGGATACCTAAAGGTTTTGCCATAACCACTAAAAGATGGGTTTGTTCTTGGTGCAATTATTGGTGAACATATAATCAACTGTAATTGAGTTGCAAGCTTCAGGTGCAAGTGGAAATGCAGATTTTTTATTCAAAATAGAGATCTGGATTACAGATGTGGTCACAATGTCATACTTTAGTAGCATCTCAACTACGGTAGCTCCTCTTACTTAGACCAAAAAAAGACCTTGTCCAAGAAACTGTCCACATAGTCTGCAAGGGCACCACCAACACTCATGTCTGTTTCGTTGTCCCATGGGAATGGCTTGATTGGTTCAGTTGCTTCCAGAAGTTCCTCAATCGGAATCTTTGGTTTTGACCGCTCCAATGGAACCACCTTGCTATAGTTCTGTGGATCTGGACAGTAATCCTGGGAACATTGCATAAGGATAAAAATTAGAAACGAACAGATGGTTTTAATGATTCATACAGTTGAAGCTTATGTCTATATGTAAATATGGCTGCTTACCAAATCAGCATGCATTTTCTTCACAAATATCTTGAATATCTTGAAATTCTTCCGTGCCATTAGATCATCTCCTAACCGAAGGTAAGTTAAACCAGACATCCTTAGTTTGGGAAGCCCATTTTTGTTGACACCGTTTGGCCTGACGTTTAACAGCATTTGATTATAAGCTGTGCGGTCATATCTATTGAGTGCATTTTCACCTGCAACTTCAATCTCCTCTCTCCAGCCACCACTTNCAAGTGGAAATGCAGATTTTTTATTCAAAATAGAGATCTGGATTACAGATGTGGTCACAATGTCATACTTTAGTAGCATCTCAACTACGGTAGCTCCTCTTACTTAGACCAAAAAAAGACCTTGTCCAAGAAACTGTCCACATAGTCTGCAAGGGCACCACCAACACTCATGTCTGTTTCGTTGTCCCATGGGAATGGCTTGATTGGTTCAGTTGCTTCCAGAAGTTCCTCAATCGGAATCTTTGGTTTTGACCGCTCCAATGGAACCACCTTGCTATAGTTCTGTGGATCTGGACAGTAATCCTGGGAACATTGCATAAGGATAAAAATTAGAAACGAACAGATGGTTTTAATGATTCATACAGTTGAAGCTTATGTCTATATGTAAATATGGCTGCTTACCAAATCAGCATGCATTTTCTTCACAAATATCTTGAATATCTTGAAATTCTTCCGTGCCATTAGATCATCTCCTAACCGAAGGTAAGTTAAACCAGACATCCTTAGTTTGGGAAGCCCATTTTTGTTGACACCGTTTGGCCTGACGTTTAACAGCATTTGATTATAAGCTGTACGGTCATATCTATTGAGTGCATTTTCACCTGCAACTTCAATCCCCTCTCTCCAGCCACCACTCAGTGCCTGTGCATACACTTGTTGAGCATCAACCTCTATTCCGAATTAAAAATGGATGTTCATATTTAAACTTTTATTGTCGTAATTAAGGTTTTAGTGTAAGATTCATTTTTGCATTTTGTTCAGTTGAAGACTAGCATGGGTGACAAGCATGTTTGCATTGTTGCCAATAAGTCTTAGATTTTGGGAAAGAAATTTGTGTTTTTTGGAAACCTGAATATGTGACACGACTCGGCCTATCTAAGACACCTCATGCATGGTACACAAAAATTTTAAGTGTCTTCCTGCATTAACCTGTTGAACAAGTTCCTGAGGTGCACTTTTAGCCTCTGCAGTTTGTTCACTGTCCCTCATCTCAAGGCATGTGAAATTCAAGGTGGCATCGTGCCGTGAGAGCATTCTTGCTATGGTTCGGTACCCATCTCTGTCATTCAAGTTGTAGTACCCTGCAGTTAGCTCTGCAGCATGAGTAGCATCATTGTACCACCAATGGATTCCAGAAACCTGTTTTGGCATAAAGGTATGTTGTTGTTTTTTTGGTTAGTAGAAGATGGAAAATAATAGTTAAACTAGTAAAGTGAGATATTCATGATGTAAGATGATTTACTTTAGCTGCTAACTTGACTTTGCATCCCAGGAATGCTTTGTTGGCTTCATCAATGATCTGATCAGCATGCATCAATAACTTATTCGAATACCAAGTCAAGAAGAACTTCCCTTTATCAGAAAAGTATGTCCCATTTGAACCAAAGAACCCTGTTGATTCAGGTGTGTCATTATATTCTCCTGCATCATCTGGCAAGTCCCATTCGGGGTGCCCTGCCTTTGTTGCAGCCTCTTTAAAATCTGCTTTGAGATATTCGTCATAGCACTGGAAAGATTGTTAAGTGGAATGTGTTAAATTTCCAGTATCTGTGGTTAGAACCTATTCGTTTTATCAGGCTATGTTCAGTCTTACTTGAAATTCTCCAATACCAGGGAAAACCCATCCTTGAGTTTCTGGATACGATGGATATCTGAGCTCCCCTGCAGGACCAAGCCCCACTTCAATGTCCACTACGGTTCCAGCTGCTAAGAATTCCTCCATGTTCTCTCTGAAGCTCTTCATGTAGTCACTATAGATCTAAATACATCAATAACCACCATTAAGATTTCACCAGGAAGACCATATATGAAAATAGATCCAGTATTGATCAGGCAGAAATTGATGATGAAATAACGTGATTGTAGAAGTCTAACCTCAACCGGTGTTCGACCTCCAAAGAGAGGCAGGTTATCCACACCTAGAGAGAGATATTCCTTGTCCCTGGTACCTGCTCGGTTAGTGTAAAAGATATCGGGGAAGTCTTCACCAACATCAAGAACCCATTTGGGAAGCGGTATGAAAACAGCATCTCCGACATTGCCACCACACTGGTGGAAGGACATGATAGCTTGTATTCTCAATCCGCATTTCTGAACAAGTTGAAACAAGATCATATATGCATTCCAATCATACTTCTTAGGGCCTTTGGATTCTATAATCCCCCACCACACATCCACCATGATCCCATCAACACCAGCTCCTCTCAGCTCTTTGAGCTGCTTCTCCAGCTTGCGATTGTCTTCCAAAACGTTGTCGACATTAACAACTCCCAGCTGTTGAAAGAAGAAAGGAGTTGAAAATGCACTTCTGGTTAGTGGTTAGTACGTAATTCTTGTTTATTAGTAGCTCAGTATAGAATACATGCATGTTGAGAGAAACTTTTTGACTTACAGGGAGCATTACATGGAGAGGCACATAGTTTGCCATCATCTTTTCAGCATCAGTGAGGGGTCTTGGAGGCTGCATTTTCTGATTGAAAGAGAAAAGGTAAGTATAATTTTTCTTCTTTGAGTCTGGTTGAAGATGCTGCTACTCCGTAGTCTGTGATTTTAAGTCTTACTTTATCTCTTTATAGAGGATTGCATCTTATCACCTGAGATCTTATCTCTGGAATGGTGCATATAAACGCTATCCAAGTGGGGCTGGCAGTTCACTATAAGCCAAATGATGATCTTATCCATGCAACTTACTCTTTGGACCAACTCAAATGACGAAAATGCTCTCCAGTAATTCTATACAAACTGGTAAAATTAACTTATTATTCATACTCTTAATGTGCAATAATAACAACTAACTTTTCTTGTCAGCTAAATGAATTCAATTTTATACTGTTTTCTATTTTCTTGACATGTGGTATCATATATCTTTGAATACAATGTTTTTAGAACAAAAAAAAAAAACTTGTTTTGATAGTAAGAAGTGGGATTCATGATATATGATCTGAAAAGTATAAGCAGCTAACCCTAATAGTAGTTCAAGTGAAAATAGGTACGAGCTGTAAACTCAAATGTCCTATATTTGAATCTTGGTTATCCTTTAGGATCAGGCCATGAGGGAATTGTCCTTCATGAATACCCTAGTTTCGGCGTGGATTACCTGTCTTTGATTGGACCAGAGAGGGTACTAATCAAGGTGTTCGTAAGCTATCTCGAACACCTCTGACCGTTAAATCAAAAAATAAAAAAGTATAAGTCAGCTGTTACATCTGTGAGTAAAAAAGAGGATGAGATTTTTTTTTGCATTTTTTTGTGTTTTGTGAAAGGTGAGAGATTTAGAATGTGAGAGAAATGGGTGATTAGAAATTGAGCAATGCTATAAGAACCTTATTTTGGAACCTAATGATATGACTTTAATACAACTATTGAATTAGTTGTGAGTTTCATTGTTAAATGGAGCCCACAACCAATTCAATGGTTGTATTGAATTTGATCCCTAAATTAAGTTCTCAAATTAGGTCCAAATAGCAGTTTCCTTCAAAATTGGTGTTATCATGGATCTTGGGTCCTTGGGATTGGGAATCAATGCATGTAAAATGACAGAAAGAACCATGTGCTGACAAGAGAAAAGTGTCAGCATATGCAAGAGTATTTCAACCTCACTTTCTAATTGAGCTCTCTTGGCCCTAGCTTATCAATGAATACTAACCTCTCACCACCAATACCCCAGTTGATAAGAAAATTGATGAACAAACCAATACACAGCTTTTAAGTTCAAGTGTTGTTCAAGATTGATGGGCACCCCCATTGCATGGGAATTTGAATTTACATCAAGGTGAGGAGTTGAGATTTCAAGTGTGGGATACCGAGTTTTCGCTAAGGTGGAGTTTTGTTGAAATCCCCAGCTTAAATTCTCAGAGGTAAAGAAGGCTACAAGTGTGCATTCAATGCACATGCTTCATGCCAAGGGAATTGGCAGCTGCACAATTGAATGCAAACCAAGGTTCATCAGCTCAACAATTTGAGCCACGGGAAATTGGCTAGTAAGAAATCTGTACGCATTTCAATTCGGAGAATTTGGCTATTGAAGAAATTTGTGCCGCATTTACCGTTGTTTTGACACATTTTCTTCAATTGCCAAATTCCGTTGACTTGAAGATTATGGTTACGTCGTAATGGGTGAGCTGTTGAATCTTTCCTTGTTTTCAAATATAAAAGAAGACGCACAGTTTACGAGACTCTCGTCATTANCGTTGACTTGAAGATTATGGTTACGTCGTAATGGGTGAGCTGTTGAATCTTTCCTTGCTTTCAAATATAAAAGAAGACGCACAGTTTACGAGACTCTCGTCATTATAGACGCACCATTATCCCATCCAATTTTGGCATGAGACGTACACACTAAATGTCAACTTGTAGCCCCGTTTTTTATCTCATGAATTTAAACCATAATTACAACACCCCAACACTAAGAAAATAAAGAGATCAATATATAAATACTAGTTACCTCTGGTTCTCTAGTGGAAACCTCAGCCCTCTTGGCTTGAGGACTTCCCACCATTCTGCGAGAACCAAATGTGATAAAATGCCTGTACCCTTTTCCAGTTGGCTGCTCAACTTTCTTAGGCATTTTTCCTGGAAACTGTGGGTGTTGTATTCCAATATTCTTTGGTAAACCACCTAGTTTTGGGTATATGATGCTTGCCATGAACACAGTTTATTTTTTTGTAGCTTCTAAGGAGAAATGTTATTGCTGGGTTTGAATGGTGACGCTGAGTAAATATATAGAAACCCAAAAGGGGGGATAGAGAAAAATATCTGCAGTGAGGACATGCCAAAGACAGAAAGAAAAATCTTGTTTCTTGGTGACTGATTGAAGCATTTCTTGTGGTTTATGTATGAAATGACACAGATATGCATGCTTTTCTTGGGTCTGATTGAATTTGCGGTGGAAGTTAATGAACTTTTTTCCAGTTTTTCAGATGCATTCTTCGTTTTGACTGTTAGAGACTGATTTCAAGTTGCTTTGATATTTCTTAGACAAATTTTGATGTCATTGGAGGTTCAACACCGACAGAGGAGAGAGAAACAATACAGCCAATAAGGTATACAAGAAAGGGATATTCCAAGAGTCTTTCCAATCTTATATTGCAAAAACAAAATTGAAAGGGGGGAGAGAGAGGGAGAGAGAGAGAGAGAGAGATCAAAGAGATCTGGGGACTGAGCAGTTGGCCCAATGGGTAAACATTTTGGGTTTTTGTATTCAATGCTTGGGTTCGAGTCTCCACTAGCTACGGTAGTCCGGTGGGACTAAATTTACTCTTCAACACCAAGAGCACGCAGTGAAACCTTAGACCTTGTTTGATTTGTGTCTCAAAAAATAATATCCGAAATCTGTTTTTAGAAAGAATTTTAGAAATTTGTTTTTTTTGCGTCGTAAAACTTGTTTGTTTATATAATTTCAAAAACATTCCATGGAATATAAAATATTAAAATTTGTTTGGACAGTAATCTAAAAAATAATGAAAATAGAAATGTGGTGGTGGTGATGAAAGTGTAGTGGTGGTGGTGAAATTGTTTAAAAAATATACAAAACAAATATAACTTGTTCTTTAAATCTATCTAGTTTTTGTTCTTAATTTTCAAAAAACAAAAACAAAAAACAATTTGCCAAATAGTTTTTCTTCTAAAAATTATTTCTTAAAATAGAAAATAATTTCTGAGATGCAAACCAAACAGGGTTTTAGTTTCTTCACTTTAGTTTCGGCCCCGATGCAAGTACGGTTAGGTTTCATGCAAATAGTTGTATGGTGTTAGAGACATGAGAAAAAATCCATAGAGTGATATACAACGATATACATCCATTTTAAACACCGAAAAAAAAGACATTGGGGAAAATAATATCATGGATATTTATCTTTAAGCTATAAACGGACAATATATATGTGATATTTTCATTTTACTTCCTATGGTTTCTTTCTCATAGTAATTCTTCCTTATGATTTACATATAATATCGTATCATGTTCTTTTGGACTATTGTGAAACATTAACATTATGGGTCTTATTTATCGAAAAACAAACATTATGGGTCTTCATCGATGCTTAAAAAGAGGTAATGTATGCGTCTTTGGTTCCAAAAACCCATATTGGTGAGAGAATATAATTATTTGATGGATATTTTCCGATATAACGAGTAATGTTAGTTGAATTTAATTTAACTCTTTGTTGTTTGATTGATAATAAACTTTATTATTGATTGAGCCGTTATCAATTTAATAAAAAAAAACGCATGTTCACTTTGAATTCTGAATGTGGGCCAGTGGGAAAACTTCTAGCCAATCATATTAGGGGGTTCACATTTACTACAATAGCCTTATCGTTGGTTCCATAATTCCATGCAACTTATTGCAAGCCTCCCCGGACTGCCTGTCCATACATCATCTACTTTACCAATAATTTGTTTTGTCTTATATTCTTTTTGGCAGGACGAATGAAAAATAGAAAAAATAGAAAATAAAAATGATCTATGTTTTATCTCCTAATAAAAAAAAGTAAGAATAATATATTTTTTTTCTTTTATATTTTGTAGGTAGGATGGATGAAAAATAGATATAATTAATTTTTTTGCGTTTCGTATTAATGAAAAAATATAAATACATAATATATAATTGATAAATATGATATATAGACAAATAACATATATTTTAACATGCATAATTAATTTTTTATCCATTTTCCTATCAATTTTAGAGATATTGATTATGATGAGTTAGAAGGAAAGATAATTCATCCACTTTTTCATCCTTCCTATTTTCCTTCTTTATCAAACATAATGTTTTATTATCTCTTCACCTGTTCATCTTTTTAATTTTTCATCTTTCTATTTTTCTATCGTATCAAACGGAGTATTAGTGTTGTTTAGCATGTAAGGCGTGTCTTTACCTATATTCAATTCATTTATAGTTAAATTCATGTAAATTAGTGTCATGTCCATATATATTTTTTTGTTGGATTTACATCACATATAATGGTTCCACAAAAATACCCAGGTTGAGTTCGGTAATTCAGGTCATGCCACTCAGGTTGAGAGCTTAGATCATTTATATTATTTGCAAATCTCAACCTCCACATCTCGAGGAAGGTTGTGCAAAGGACAGTTGGATCCCACCAAGTACCCTTTTTGTAGCACCAGTTACTCAACAAGTGCAAGTCTCGTAACTAGGGCTATTAATCAAAGTAAGTTATTCGAGTTTGGCTCGAGTTCAGTTCGGGTTCGGTTTCTAAACAAGCCCGAATTTGAACAAGTTTTTAGGCTCGTTTAAAAAACAAGTCTTACAAGCTCGGCTCAAACTCGACAAGTTCGATTTGTTTATGTGAAAATATTCAAACTCAGATCAGGCTCGACTTATTTTTGGCTTGTTCAAGTTTGGCTCGTTTTCTAAACAAATCGAACTTGAACAATTTTTTAAGCTCGATTAAGAAATAAGTTTTTCAAGCTCAGTTCAAGCTCGTTCGACTAACTGTCCCAACATCTACTACAGTTGTTGCACAATAAAGGCGACAGTTATAAGGGAGAGGCGAGGATCTTGCCTCAAATCAAGCTAGACCTAGGGATAACTATAAATAGGAGACAAAGCTCTCAAAAATAACAAGTCATTGTAGTCTCACCAAAAATATTTTCTGTAAGTTTTCCAGTAATCAATACATTTATGAGAAGAAACTCCCTTGAGAGTGGATTAGTCAAGCTCTTGAACTG